GTAGGACAGTTTCAATAATTAATACATTGCATATTGTTGTCTTAGTTGTTATTCATTTCTGTATACCTTTTTAATAAAGAAAAAAATGAAACAGAGAGGTTAAACAACTTTTCAAGGGCTATATAGCTAGTTAGGTTCCAATTCCAGTCCTGTTTAACTCAACCATAATAACTAAACTTCTATGAACTCTCTAAGCTCTCAACATATATTGGAGGCAAAAAGAAAAGTTTTTTTTTTTTTTTCAGTACTGGGGATTGAACTCAGGACCTTGCACTTTCCAGGAAGGTGCTTATTCTATTGAGCTATCTCCCCAGCCCTAAGAAAAATTATGATGAATGTAACAGAAAATGATGACTAGTAACATAGATGGTAATAAGTAGCACTTATCAAACACTTGCTAAGTGCTTCGAGTATATTATTGCAATTAATCCTATAAAGAAGGTATTTCTATTACCATTATTTTAAATTTTTAAAAAATATTTATTTATTTATTTGTTTGGTTGTTTGTTTACTTATTTATTTGGTACAGGGTCTCATTACACAGCTCAGACTCATAGTGATCCTCCTGTCTCAGCCTCCCTAGCACTAGGATTACAGTCGTGCACCACCATGCCCAGTTTTGGTGGCCAGTACTGGGGATCAAACCCTGGTTCTTGCACTCACCAGACAGGCGCTTAGACCACTGAGCTATATCCCCAGCCCTATTGCTATTATTTTAAATTTGAGGAAATTGAGTCTTTACAAGTTAATCAGCTCAAGAAATTTGGTTCAGCCAATAAATTATATAACAACTATGTCACTTGTTTGATGCTAAGGTTGATGGTATAATTACTGTACCAAGTTATTCTCCAAAATTATATATATATATATATATATATATATATATATATATATGGAACTGAATGTGAAATTAGGATGGTTCTATGTGGGTAAATTTTATTATATTATAATTTGCTTTTGAAACATTTTTCTTATTCTAAACTTGAAAGTATTAAATGGATTTAGGTTCTCTGAAAGATGGGCTCTACTGAGCAACAAGGTATTGATTTGGGCTATGCTATATATTTATACAGTCTGTATAGACTAAGTCTAATTAAAAACTCAAGTTTGTGTCAAAAGAAAGTGAGTCTTCTCTCAGGTTCACTCTACCTTCACCAGCTTCAGGATTCCTTATATGCCCACTAAACAAACGAAGGCTGAAAAATTATTCACATCTTTTGAATAAATGAACTGGTTCAGATTCTGGGTCTACTCTTCACTGAGACTTTAACGTACTATTCTTTCTTAGCTTTCTAATCTCCAAATTGAGAATGACTACTTCATAAGAGTGATTTTAGGATTAAATAAATTAACACACACAAATCCCTTAGAAAAGTGACATGACATAGAAAGCATCCAGTATCTAAGAGACAGGATTGTTGTTATCTATCTTTTGTCTTTTTGAAACATTCTTTGCAAAGTTCATCCTCTTAATAAGTTTCAAATGATGCACATGCAATTATTCACTATTAGAAAAGATTGTAAAAATATAATTTATATCATTTAATCTTGTAAATTATTAGGATTAAATGCAGAAAGCTAACCAACTATAAAATAAAGTTAAGAAACTATTAAAAATGAAAATGCACCAATATATGTGTTTAAATATTTTAAAAGAATATGCAGATGTGTATTTTTATACTTGAGTTTGTAGAAAAAGGAGAGCATAACATAGCCTAGTTTATGTGCCTAATGTAGCTAATATTAGTTTGTATATGCATAAAATATCTCTGATAACTAAAAAAATTAAACTTTTTCTTAAAATAATATTTTTGGCAGAACCAAGGATTGAACTCAGGCCCTTGCACTTGCCAGGAAAGTGCTTTCTTAAAATAATTTGAAGTGGACTCTCTATACCTTTTGTTTCTTAAAATTTTTAAGCCCAGTCCTTTCCTTGGTTAACCAACATTGAATATTTACATTTTTTATCATTGTCATTACTATTTCTTTAAATTTATATTTTTTATATTTTTTATATTTTCTAAGGAGAGAGTCTGGAATGTTTTAACTAGATTAAAAACTCTACAAAATTCAAGAGAAGAGATGCTAAAAAGCAGTCAACAAAAAAACGTATTTCATCATTTTTTGACAAGCTGGTAGACTCACGTAAGTTGTAGATAATATGTCTGCATCCATCATATTTCTCTATAGTGTGATAACTGAGCTACACATCGCCCTCCAAATTGATATTGCATGCTTTGTTTTTAAGCTGTTGTTGTTATTATTGTCCTCAGCTTCAGATTCTTGGTTTACTGTATGAGAAGCAGGGACTTGTGCTTCCAGACTTTTAGCTTTTCAGACCTTTTAAAAACACTTTTTTTTAAAACAGTCTCGTTATGCAGTTTGGTCTGACCTTGCGTTCACTTTTGTAGCCCCGAGGCTGGTCGCAAACTCACAGCAATCCTCCTGTCTATACCTTAGACCTTTTAAAGGTCAGCTGAGATATGGATCGTGTACAACCTCCAGAAATGCTGTGCTGTGTTCTGCTGCTTGCGGATCATGGAGTCCAAGAGGATGAACAGAGGAGAGAGAAGAAAGCTTTAAAGACCAGCAACACAACACAATGTCTAACAAAACTCACAGCTTTATTTCTACTAGAAAAAGGGAAGGAAAACCAGTCATGTTTTAAAACAAAATATTTAAACAATTGCTTCACTTTATCTGAAAAAGTTCACAGAATAATGAAACTGCTACAATTTGAAGAGTATAATCTTCCCAAACATACAGCATTGCTAAATTTTAATTCAATTTTTTAAAAAATCCCTCTGCACAGTTCCAGGGAGTTCTGGTTCATGAGTTTAGATACTCTCCAAAGGTACAAATAACATGTTTCAAAATCTTCTAGCTCATCTTAGAGTGAAGGGTGAAACATCTAAGAACTTTAGTTGAATACCCATCCAAATAATTACAAGCAATTATGAACCAAATTCCTTTCTTCCCCTCACTGCAAAACTCTGCTTCTTAGCAAAGTTATGAGCTTCTCTCTAAATGAAGCTTTTGAGGAGGGTGGCGTTGTGAGAATGCCTATGCAGCCCAAAGAATTTGCACAAAAGGAAAGGAGAAATAAATTAAATAAATAGTATCTAATAAATAACTCAGATAACATATATTATCTACAAATGCCAGGAAATGCTAGCTTTAAATATAAAATCTCCCATATCACCCATGAGTGTAAGTACCAGAATATGTTGAAAAAGCAGATAGGATGGCTTTATAAATCATCTTACTCACCTATTCCTACTAGGGCATATCATGACAAGTGGAGTCAGTTGATGGCTGATGGAGTTGTGGTCACTTTACAAAACTACTTTCGAATGGATTTACAAACCAAGGGTGCAAAATACAACAGAGTAAGTGCTGATAAGTGGAAATAAGATAGCTTAGTTTACAGGAAATAAGTAAAAGAAGTTAAAAACTGGATACATATAAGTATGGCAGATTTTAGGAGCTAACTAGGCTGTAGAAAATGACAAACTAATGTCGTACAAGTTTCATTTATTGGTCCTGTCGGTGTACCTGAATTGCTAAATGTATTCTCTCAGACAGGAGAGGACCTGATCTACTACTAAGCAAGTCATTTATGATGGTCTTGACTTGAACTAAAGTTAATTGTCCTGGCAGATTCACCAGGACTAAAATTTCTCAGATTTTATTTCCTGGGTAAAAGATTAAACTCAACAAAGTTAGTCTTTATAGAAAGGAAAGAGAAGTTACATAAAGAACAATACACTTCTGGCAGATTGGGCTAAATTTATGGTGAAGATAGAAACTGGTAAAAGCATTCACTGACCTTAGACTTTGTTTCTGAACCCCCAAGTTTCACCACTTGGAATATTACCTACAAGATATAATCAACATTGTATCTTAGAAGTGAAGAAGAGGTAACAGTGGTGAGAGAGAAAAGGAATTGCATATATCTTAGAAAAATTCAAGCTTAATCAATAAATTGATTAGTGCTATGCTTCTGGAAAAATGTGATATGATGTGGGCAGAGGTCAGTGGTTTTAATAATCTTTACTTTAACCAAATGAAATTCATCTTGCACAAGTATGAGCAGACAGAGTCCCTGAACTGGTAGTTAGTATAGCCAACCGCCATTTTATTGCTCTATAATGTAAACCTGGGTTGTGTGCTGATTCTAATAGCAGCACCTGAGCATTGACTGAATTCCCAGAGACTTCTGGTTATGGAGGCCCTGGAATGATCCAAACGACTTCTCCATGCTCTATTGGTCATCAAAGTCTGAGATTTCAGTGATTTTGTTGCCCTTTCTCTATGACCAAGAAAAGTGCTTTTGAAATACTATAAGAATAAAGTAGGCATGATGTTCTCTGGAGGTTTTCAAATTACTAAGAAAGATATTTTCAATTTCTAGTCCAGTGAGAAATAGAACTAATCTATTCACAGTGACAGCCAAGTTAGAATTTTAGCTTCTAGAAGCTATTTTTAGATAGATATAGAGAAGTCTTGTCACCAAGTTCAAATGAACTATGCATTCAGTGCACCAACAGACATGCCCTCTGCTCCCTCTGGCACATCCGTTTGATCATTCCATGGATACCATTCATTTCTAGTATTGCTTTATCTTTGTCAGTTTTAAGAAACTTATAAGACTTTTCGCCAAAGCTGTGTCATTCCAGAACCAAGAAGGTCTGTAAAAAGTATCTAAACTTAGAACAACTGTTTCATAACACCAGAAAGAGTAAACTTAGTTGGCAGAGATTACTCGAGGAGTTTTGGCACCACTGTAATAGGGCCTAGGTCTTCTGTTACCACATAGTTTTAAGTCATAGTTTAAGTCTATGACAAAAGTTGAGGACTGGTGTAGGAGATCCTAAATGAACTCAGATGATTATTTGATATTATCCATAGTATTCATTTAAAGTCTTTGAATCTTCACTTCAATCACTTGAGTTATGAGGAGCCTCCATATCATTCTCTGAAATGCAAATTTCATGGCTCTAATCAGTGAAGATTGTATTGAGTTGGGTTCCGATACCATGGTGAGAATAGGAATCATAGGACATGTCTATGGGAATGTCATAGCGGGAGGTACTAGCCTGAAAGGGAGTTGAATGCACATGCCCTGAGCTTAGGCTTGCAGAGGGGTAATGTGACATGAAGCTATAGGATTTTTCCATGTCTGGAGAACCATCTTGCTTGAGGGAGAAGTTCCCACTGATGCTCAGAGGTGGAGTGAGTGGGCCTTCATAAGGGGGTGTACTGCAGGAAGGGGGATGGTTTCCAAATGATGAGTCTCCCAAACTCTTGAATACTTGAGGCTTGAGATGAAGAAGATGTGCTTCCATATGGCCATAAGGAGGACTTGGGAGCCCTGGAGACTGATAATTGAAGTTGTGGACAGAAACAGTAGAATCACAAATCTGAGATTTTTCCTCTTGCTTCTCCAGGAGGATAGATTGTGGACCGAGCTGGAGACACCCAGCCACCAGGTTGCTCGTAGGCTGAGAGAGCCCTTTACAGAGCATCTCCACAAAACCCTTCCCTTCGGGTGTCTGGCCGGTCTCCAGGACTTCAGACAAAGCCCAAATGTAGTTCCTAGCCAGTCTAAGAGTCTCTATCTTGGAAAGCTTCTGAGTTTTAGAGTAACATGGCATGACTCTCCTGAGGTTGTCAAGGGCATCATTCAGGCCATGCATCCGGGTCCGTTCTCTGGCATTGGCCTTGACTCTTCGAGCCCTGAATCTCTCAAGCCGTGCTTTGGTCATCTTTTTTTTCTTGGGACCTCTTCTCTTTGGTTTTTCCCCATCTTCTTCCTCTTCTTCTTCCTCTTCAATACTGTCATGCTCTTCAGTCAAGTTTCCAAGCATCCCATAAGAACCTGGTCTTCTATCCTCTGCCTTCATCTCATTTTGAGAGCTCAGACTTTTGTCCATGAAGGACTGTGTGGTGACCAGCTCCACTATCTCCTTGGATTTCACATAAGTTTTTGCCATTTCTGGATTCTGGAAAAGAAAAACAGAAAAAAAATTCCTATGAATACCTCACTTGGTTTGACACTGAATATTCTTTATGTATTGTATTTAGAGCACAACCTTTACATTGGTATTCATTCATAGTTATCTTGTCTATATCTTCCATTTTAAGTAATTAACTGAAGGTTCAAAGAATGCCCAGTGTACTCTACTAGTTTTACCATATTATAGGAAAGTGATATACAGAAAACAAAAATTGTTTTATTTTTTACAATTCTACTGCCTATTTATAGTCTCAGGCTCTTTATTTCATTGATATTTTACACAAACATCTCCCCAGAAATATATAGAGAAAATAGATAAGATGTGATAATTGAATAAATCACCAACATAGAGAAATTTCAGAAAGTGAAAGATGTTGCTAAAATAAAATAATATATATTACATATATTAGAAATATTACAAAACAAGCACATATTAACCAGTTAAATGAGTACACTGCTAAACAAGTATACCAGAAGATAAATGAAAACATGTAGCAAGATCTTTAAAACTACTTTCATGTGGTCTACAAAGGACTATTCAGTCCCTACTTAGAGGCATTTCACATAATATTCCTAATTTCCCACTGGTACTGCCAACTGGTGGCTTGCATCCTTCCCTAAGAAATGCCCATGTCACAACTGGCTGGTGTGCCACATGACCATCAAACATTTATCTCACCACTGTTGGAAGAGCATTTTGTTTTGAAATAAGTGCTGTCTCACAGTAGTGGCAGAGATGTTAGTGGCATGGTGTCTTGAAAGGATCATGAAAAGTAAGGAGTGTCATCGCTGGTCATCTATCAAATTTGACCATATGTTGAAGTAAGAACTCTTGATTCCCCATGCATCTCGAGCTATCAGCCATGACCAAGGCAACAGCCAGTGGTCCAGCAAACCTATCCAAGACATTTCCGTGTAAATATTATAAAAATAATACTATGTTAAAATAAAAAAATCTGGGCCAAACTCAAAACTAAAAAGAAATGAGGGACTTCAAATATAAGAAAGTACTCTTTCAGGTAAGCACAGAGAGTCCATTTTACCTACCAAATAGACACAGTGCTGTTTTAATCAGGATCTTCTGTGAAAATGTTATTGTTCATAAAATAGGCAAAACTGAGTTGTTTGGTAAACCCTTTGCTTTCATATGTAGCATAGTTTGAATTGTTTTGAAATTTGTTGAGCAATTTTTAGGTCTATAGTTTACTAAATAAAAGTAACTGATAAGCTCCACTGGGGCATCTCAGTTTACTAGTAGTCTTTAAAACATTAAACCCTCCATCACCTTTGATTATGAGAAAGAGGAGACCATCATAAAGGCTTTTTGATCCATAAAACGTGAACCTCAAATCAATGAATGCAGGGATTAGTACACAGCTTTTAAAAATATAAATCTATGATTTGATTTGTTTCTGGTAATTGGAGCTTGTTTTCCTTGTAACCTCATTTACCTCCTATCAATAATTAATGTTACCGCATTGTGAAAACAGCCTAGGTTTCATGTTAATCAGCACAGAAATCATGTCAGCTTGACTTACTCACTTAATAAGGCTTCCTGGGTAAGCAGCTTTATTGGAAACACACATTGGAACCTATTGGTCAACTGGCTGCCCTGGCCAAGTCAGAAAATCCCACTTTTAATATGGATGATGGAGCTTCTATGCTGAGCTGCACTTCTAACTCGGGCAGATATCCAGAGGGACATTAAAGGACCTAATTAACTTTCTTTTAAAGTAACACAGATCTTCCAGAGGCAGGTGCACTCTGAGGCCAAAAAGGGTTGAGTGGGCTTGGGAAACCTAATGCTCCCGATGTAATTATAATAACATTTGTGTGGCACTTGAAAGTTTTCAGGGCACTTTTGCATCTGTTAATTTATACGTTCCTTAGAGCAAACTTTGAGGGAGATGGGTGTGCTTGTGCTCACTGCATAGTCAGAGTCACTGGGGGCCGAGTCATTCCAGTGATGGAACTGCGAAGATACAGAGCTGGGGAGGAAGGACATAAAACCCATTCTGATTCTCATCCTAGGTTTCAGGCTTTTTTTTCTTTCTGATTGCATCCCATCTTTAAGAGGAAAGCCACTTTGACTTTAGCAGCTGTCTATCAATGGAACTAAGTCAACAGGAATGATCTTCAAAGTCAGGTTGGTTTCGATGTACTCCAGAATTTCTTTCTTTTCCAAATGTTTTTACTGCTATTTTCACTCCTTTATTCTCCTTCTTCTTGTCTGTATTTTCCCCACTTTTCCTTCTCTGTCTCTCATCCTCATTATCACCATTACTCTGAGCCATACTTACATGCACGGAGGGTGGCGGAAGAAGGAAGAGAAGAAATATGAAAGAGAGGAAAGCGTTCTGGCTTGCCTTTGGATCTCAATTCCACGCTACCTTGGGTATTCGACATTCTGTACTATCCCTACTTCGGTGCCTCTCGACCCTTACAAGAGCTGTCAATAGTTGCTCCCATGAAGAAGTCAGACTAGAGGCCGGCCTGATAGCTCAGCGGACTAAAGTGCCTGCTTAGGCGGAGCACAGGGGGCCGGTTCAATGCCCAGCATGCAGTGCTGGTCCCACCCCCAGGGTGCACTGAGATGGCAGTTGAGACTGGGTGTAGTGGCGTGTGCCTGTAATCCCAGCACTTTGGAGGCTGAACACAGGCGAATCACTAAAAGTCCGACCTACATAGTGAGATCCTGTAGACCCTGTCCTAATTGCAGAAAGAAAAAAAGAAGAAGTGGGACTAGGACAATAGAGCTTTTACATTTATCATACTTGATGGTTTCTATAACCGATTATTGATAGGTATGAGGGAAAATAATGAACTGGCTTTGACCAAAACAATTAAAAAGAGCAACATATTCTTGCTGCTGTTCTTTTGCTAATCATGGGAATAACATATTTCCTGGGTTCAAAAGGAAGACTCTGCCACTTACTAGATAGGTGGCTTCAAGTTTTGTAACCTTTGCTTTCCTTTTCCTTTTTAAAATAGGAATAATATTTTTTCTAACTCATAGGATTATTATGATCACAAAATGAGTCAATATACTGAAAACACTGTGAGTAGTGCCAGATATCATAAACTCCACATAAATGTTGGGAAGTTTCTTTTAAATTTTATAATGAGTTTTTCTTACTGCTTGGACAAAAAATAGGCAGAATCATAAAGTGTGCTCAATTCTTATTTGGTGTCAACAAAATCCAGTGGCTCGGGCTGGGGAGGTAGCTCAAGGGCATAAATGCCTGCCCGGCAAGCCCAGGGTCCTAAGTTCAATCCCTAGTACAGGAAAATAAAATAAAATAAAATAAAAATCCAGTGGCTCCATTTCAACATTCATTTCAAAAAAAAAATCCCTTATGTTTCTAATCTTCCTACTTCTTAATGAAACTAAACACCAAAACTCTTATTTTGCTGCAAAGCCATGGGACATCAAACGATCAGCTGCCTATATTCAATGGACTAGAACTCTTACACTGTATTCTGAAAGGTTAACTTCCTAAGTTTTATAATTAGGAGAATACATTTAACTGAATACTCCTATTTTCTTATATAAACTTTGAATTCATAAAAGCTTTGGTGGAATACAGAAAATCATTGTCACTTGGACATTTTGCCTTTGGTAATCAATATAGAGAATATAGCTTTCCCACAAAAACCAAATAACAGGCTATAGGAAGAAATTGAAGTGTCTCTAAGCAGAAGTAAAACTCAAGACTCAAAAGAATTTTTTTCTTTTTCTCCCTAAGTATGTTTAGGGCATCAGAACGTTAGCTGAAGGAAGAAAGAGAAAACCTAGATCTGGATTTAAGTGTTCAAAGTATTTATGGCACAGTTTTGAGTTTTGACAAGAGAAGCTAGGTTCTCTCCAGAACAGGTGCCTAACTCAAATGAAGCTCTTGGACTAAGCTAGTGAACCATCTCTGAGCTGTCTCAGGGTTGTACTAAAAGAAAACTAAGACCCTCTTCCGTCACTCATCTATGGGATGAGCAAAAATTATTTTCATTATTTCATCCTGACGGCAAAATGCAAATGTGCTCACATTTCCTACTTCATTTGGAAGTTTTACTTTGTAAAACTATTTTACATACATTAAGGTTAGAAATTATTTTATGGAAGATAAATATGGGGAAATCTATAGCACTATCTCACAAAGTATTATGATAAATCATCGTAAGGCATTCTCAACTCGTAGAAAAGAAATTAGCTCTCAGAATATATAGGAGGCAGACTCCAGTATGACAGAAATCAATGCATACTGGTGCTGGGAGCAAAATTCAGCCCCTCCCCCACCAACACACACAAAAACATTCTGATCTTATGAAGCCCACTGAGTCTTTTACCTTGGTTTTGTTACTTGAACAATGTCATAGAATTTTCCTCTTTATTTAAGATTCTTCAATGAAATTTCACCTTTAATTTATTCTCCCATTTTTTGGTTTACGAACCTGTTACAAACCTGTTCTAGCAAGATGTTTCAATATTTTCATCACGCCGGGAGCCAAGGTTACTCGACATTACAACCTTGCACTGCTGCATAGAATCATGCGTATACTTTTTTTTTAACTTTGGAAAAGTTTCAAGTGATAAGTAAGTGTATTAGAAGCATTCATACATGATTGTTTAGAGCCTAAATAGTCTTTCCCCTTAAAAACTGACAGCAGGCCTTTACCACCCGTTCCTAAAACTCTAAATACAACAGGAAGACAACTGTCCAATCCATATTCTAAGGAATCTAAAGACAAGATAAACTAAATTATTTGCTCAAAGTTGTACTCTACACTAAAGAGACAGACTCCAGATCATGATGCGCCCAAGTAGCCCTTCTTAGAGACAATCAGTAGACTTTGCTGCCCTGTCCCTGCCAAGCTCTTTATACTCTGCATTTTGATTAGAAAGTAGGCACACATGCATGTGCATACACTTTATATAGCAAAGCCATGTCATACTTCAGCTTCCATCCCCTTAAATCCTAATGGTGA